ACTCTGTCTTCTTGAGAGTTAACATCTTGGTCTATTTTTGCATGGCTGCAATCAAGTGCCTGAGGTTGGGTACTTGGATCAAGAAGTTTATTTAGCTCACGGTTTTGGAGGCTCAAAGTCCAAAAGGGGACAGCCCATCTGGTGGGCCTCTGATGAGGGCTTCTAGGCTACACAGCACAGCAATGTGATGGCCTGGCAGGGGTGTATCTGACAGAGTTTCATAGCAAGAGACCAGAGGGACTGGGCTCCCTTTATAAGGAGTGACTGGCTCTGGCAGAAGTAACCACTCCTGGGAGACCTCACCTGCTCCTTGAGACCAGCACTGGTCCCTTCTGAGGAGGTCATGACCGGTCGCCCCCACCTGGGCCTCACCTTTTAAAGGTCCCACCACCTTTCAGTGCTGGGGGCCATGTATCTAGCACATGAGCCTTTGGGGGCAAACCACAGTGACCAGAGCAGTTAAGGAAACAGGCACAGAGAGGCTAGGTGACTTGCCCAAGGGCTCACAGCTGAAGAGTGGCAGAGCCAGGACTGGAACCCAGGACTATCTTATTCCACGGTGAGAATCACCCAGGGAGTGTCCATGGTCCAGTGGTTCTGATTTGTGGCCAGGGCCCGGGATTGTACACTGCTGCACAGGGCCCAGGTAAGGAGACTATGCTCAGAAACACCCCTCCCAAGCCCTGGGCTTCCCATGATCCTGCCCCGCTTTTCTGGCGAAGAGCGTGAGTCACCCGTCCATCCCCTCTTCCATCCACTCACTCATGAGCACAGCCCCTCACCCAGGGTTCCCTTCCGAGTGCCCTCCACACACCGTGAGGTCCCTCTCAGAGTTTAACTGCTGTCTTTACTGCCTTTTGCTCCCGTCCTGCCGCGCTTGGCTGTCTTGCATAGAAGTCCCACTTGGAATGAAACCCAACAGGAACACTGATGTCCCCAGCCCAGTCCCGACCTCGGCAGCCTCCCCAGGGCTGTGGACTCATTCCTTATTTGCCTTCGCACCTTCCTGGCCCAAGAGGAACCTCTTTAAAAGAGAGTCTGCTGCAACGCCCCACCTGGTGAGTAACGAGGCAGCACCTCCTCACGAATGTCAGCGGGTGGAAGGACCCTTCTGGGCTGACTGTCACAGGCTTTGTTCCTCCAGCAAAGTGCTCCCTCTCTCTCCCTAAATGTGACCGTCACTGGGACAGCCCAGTTATCTCTCCCCGGTGCTCTTCCTGTGCACGACAGAGGATTCACACCAGGGGGAGGTTTGCACCTGCTCCCTGGGTGGCGGCAGCTGCGAAGTAATCCCTCTATCCTCCTTTAAAAAGTCTACCATCGCGTGCTTTTATTAAATTGTGTGGCGTGGAATAGTCTTCACTTTCAAACAATTTCTTTCTTTTATTTTAGTATGGAGATATTTCAAGACAAGTTCAAGGGACTTCAGAGAATGGAGTAATTTTTCAGAAATGTGCACTGGTGAGTCTCCACGAGTCACTTATGCTTGAAGTGGACTTTTCCCAGGTTACTTGGTAGAGTCGGCCCACGGGCTGTAAATTGTGGGCTTTTCCGCTCTTGTCTGGACCCACGGTGATGCTGTAGACAGCAGGGGTTTGATCCCTAGATGGCAGTGCTGAGACTGAGGGTGGGTGGGAACACTTAAATTTTTGTTTATAAAAATAACAGTGATCAGGGCTGGAGCTGGGGCTCAGTGGAAGCGCACTTGCCTGGCATGTGAGAGGCACTGGGTTCGATTCTCAGCACCACATATAAATAAATAAAATAAAGGTCTGTCAAGAACTAAAAAAAAAAAAAAATAACAGTGATCATTTAGAATAGGGAAGAAATATATATTTATATTCAGATTACAAAAATATGGTTCTTGATAGTTTCAAAAATTTGCTTACTGTTTTAGGTCTTCCATCTTACTAACCCCGGTAGACAGTTTTATACCAGCCTGAGTTGGGCCCCAGGAGCACCCTCGGCTCAGGGATTGCTGAAGGGCTCAGAAGGCAGTGGAGCCCTGCTGCTCCCAGATGTGCTGTATTGCAGAGAAAGCAATGAGGCGAATGGGGAGCCCTGGAAGACCAGGCAGGTGCTTCTGGTGTCCTTGTGCGGTGCCGTGGTGTGGCCCAGTCACCCGGGAGGCCAGCAACGTGTGTGGCAACATCTACAGAGTCTGGCCAAGAGCGAGGCTCACTGGAGACCAGCTTCCAGAGTTTTCCTCAGGGCTCAGTCAGGCATGGGCCCTTGCAAGATTGACCTCTATGCTCAGTCCTCTGCCCCCTGGAGGCCACACTGCCACTGTGTGGCCCATGGCACCCACCACGGATCACATTGTTGACCTCCATGAGCAGGTGTGGTCCCAGGCCCCAGGTGTAAAACCTCCTTATCAGGCAGGATATTCCAGGAGCCTGAGAGGTTATCTCCCTCAAGCAGGTCAAAGGCGAGCCCTCTGGATCGTGCAGGGTTTGGACAGCCCAGGCCTGCGGGCTCCTGCTCACTGCACTGCCCTCACGGGGCCCTCAGCCACCTGGCTGACCTTCCTGGGTGCACTCAGTGCAGTGTGTTCTCACATTCCTTCTAGAGGTGTTTTCTAACATGCACAGGTGTGTGTGTGTGTGTGTGTGTGTGTGAGAGAGAGAGAGAGAGAGAGAGAGAGAGAGAGAGAGCGCCTGTGTGCATGCAGGTACACGTACGTGGTGGAATACTAAACACGCATTTCTGAACCTTGTTTGTCACTCAGCTCGGGACATACATTGCTTCCTTCCCTTCAGCTCCCGCATCTATTTCAGCAGGGCTGGGCAGAGGGGGTGCAGGGTGGTGGAAGATAAGGCTAGAGGGCAGCAGGGCACGGTTGTCGAGTCCACCAGCCACATGGGCCATGGACATATCCTACAGCAGGCAGAACGTGGATGGAGAAGACTGACCAGGACACAGATGACCAGCTCAGGTCTTTCCTGGGAGACCAAATAGCCATTCTGCCTGGGCTCTGAGCTGGGGAGCATCTTTAGAATAACTCAGTACAAAGAGCTGTTGCTTGCTCTTTTGAGTGCCTCTCCCCAGCCTGACCTTGGGGTAGTGTTCCTTCCAGGACACTTAGCAGGATGACTTCCTTGCACTTCAGGGTCCTAACTCCTTTGCAGTTGTCTCTGGGCCACAGCTTGACAGTGTGGGTCAACACCCTCTGGGGCTTGGAAACCAGAGGAGCCTGGTAAATCCTCAGGGTCCCCGTGAGACCTGACGTGCAGAGGTCAGGCTGGTCCTGAGCCACGGGCCCTCCCTTCCTCTCCTCCTGTCCCAGGTGTCGGGGCAGAGCGAACCACAGACGGTGCTCATTCACCTGTTCGTGAACAATACCAAGACGCCCTCGTCAGCCAACCTCTCAGAACTGCTCGTGCTGGATGACATCACAGGCCTCACCCTCAGGGAGTCGGTCGGGAACATGACCCAGGATGGATTCCAGGCTTTCAGAAAGAAGTTTCTGCAAGGTGATGGCAGAATCCTGTGTTGTTTTAAAAAAAATTACAAATTCAATTTGAATTTTGAAAAATTTCAGCCAGTGATGCAGTCCAATGACTCTGGTGCCCCCATCACCTGATGACCAAAATTGCCATCACTCAGAAAGGCAGAGGTTTGTGTGCGCTGGGCAAGGTGGGAGGATGTTGTCATTGGCCTTGGAAGCACATTCATGAGATGTCCAGGTTGCTCCAGTGGGTTCATGGTGTTTGGCATGTTCCCCTGGGACGCTGCTGAATGGCTGTTTTGCTTGGGGTGCTGCTGTCTGGGCTGGCTGTCAGGGGCCCGTTCCTGAGGGAGCTGGCATTGGTTGATGAAGCAGGTTCTTTTTTCTGGTACCAGAGATTGAACTCAGGGTTACTCAACCACTGAGCCACATCCCCAGTCCTTTTTGTATTTTATTTAGAGACAGGGTCTCACTGAGTTGCTTAGCGCCTTGCTCTTGCTGAGACTGACTTTGAACTTGCAATCCTCTTGCCTCAGCCTCTGAGCTGCAGGGATTACGGGCATGCACCACCATGCCCAGTTCTTTTTTTGTAAAATATTTTTTTTT